CGGAGAACTCTCCTTTATGGTAGACGGCATTGTCTGCAGTTGCCAAGACAGTAGGGGAGTCTGTACTTGAAGAGCCTGTAGAGATGTCATTGAACAATGTATGGTTTTTATTATTTAACTGTTTGCCTCCCTGACACATATATGGGGACCTTACTCAGAGAGGTTGTTTTATCGGTGACAGCTTACCTTGTCCGCCAGTCACATCTTCCAGTACAAATATTTGGAAGAAAAGCAATTAGTGCTTCCTGTATACAGCGGACACCCTACTGCTTCCAGTCACACCATTGAGCTGAACTGCGGGTAAAGTTTTATTCTAGATACTGCCCTAGCTACTTAAGATAGCCTTAGTCATAGGTGTGGGCGGCTGCTGCTTAGTAAAATCATACGGTGTACAAGCCGCGACCTACACACAGCGCTGAATTTCCGCCGATGAGAGCAGCAGCTACAGCAGTGAAGTGTCCCAGTCGCATCCCTGTCCCTCTCATTGGTGTCAGTGATGGCTGCTTCCCCTTAAATAGCCTCACAGATTCCTTTTAAAAGTAAAGATCTGTTCTAAAATTTTTAAGGGCCCTTTTAACAGCTCCATGTGCATGACAAGCATTTCAATCTTGTCTTTGGGTTCCATCTGCCCTCCATTGACGTGTGACGGCCATGTTTATGGACATCTGATGGCGTGTGGGCCCCTCCCCTCTCCTTGTCCATTGACAGTTGGGTGGAGTCACCTTTGTAATAATTTCATCCAATTGGCCATATGGCTGATTTTCCGTTACATCGATGATGATAAATACAGGCTGGATCCTTTAATTTGTTGGTTACAGGATACTTGTGTTCCCGGGGTAAGATCCTGACCAGACATAGGAGGTCTGTAGGATACATTACAATTAAACTAAACCGAAACGGGCTCATTGTGTTCTGATTTGTGTTCAAATGTTTTTGTGTCTTTTTGCTCTTTCTTAAAGTTATCTCATTTTGAGACGATGTTGCATTCATATTAATAAATTCCGGTTTCCTAATGTTACAGAGTGATTGTGTCACATGTTCTTCCTAAGACACTATGAGAGAGATTGATCAGCTTTGTCACAGGCTATGCTAATCCAGAGCAATCAGAGATCACGAGACAGATTGACTATAGAAATTCCCCCCCTTCCCCCCTCTGCTGCTCTGAAATACTTCTTACAGTACATGTTAGGGATGCACCGATACCTATACTAGTATCAGTATTGGTGCCGATACCGAGTATTTGGGCGAGTACTCGTACTCCCTAATGCTCCCATACCGGAACTTCCGGTCATGGGGAGATCTCCCTCTGAGCGGCAGTGCCAAGGGAGCATGGTGCCGCTTTGCTTTCCAATCGGAAAGCCAGGCGGCGGGTTATGACCCGCCTCCCGGCTTCCTGATTGGCTAGGAAGCCAGCTCCACTAGCTGCTTGGCAGCCTGGCTTCCTAATTAATCAGGAAGCCGGGCGGCATGTAATGACACACCTCCCGGCTTCCTGATTGGTAGCTTCCAGAAGCCAGGCTGCCTAGGAATAAGTGAAGATGGCTTCCTAGCCAATCAGGGAGGCGAGTCATGACGTGCCACCCGGCATCTTGATTGGCTAGGAAGCCGGCTCCACTTGGTAGGGAGTCTGGCTTCCTGACGAATCGGGAAGCCGGACGGCACTGCATGACTCGTCACCCACCTTCCTGATTGGTTAGGAAGCCAGGCACCCACAGCAAGTGAAGCCGGTGTTCTTTTGCTAGACTTTTTCAACCACTTGTAAACGCAGCACACCTGATTGCACCCAGTACTGCCCTTCAGTCTCCTGACCTGTGAGCTGCTGTACAAGGAAAATCAGGTCTTCATATGTACTAGTTGCATTTGATTTACATTTAATTAGGGATGCACCGATACTGATACTAGCATTGGTGCCGATACCGAGTATTTGTGCGCGTGCTCGTACTGATTGGCCGGGAAGCCGTCTCCATGCTTCCTCATCACCAAGGAGCATGGTGGTGGCTTCCCAGCCAATCAGGAAGCCGGCCGGTGGGTAATGGCTCCTCCCCCCCGATTCCTAATTAGCTGTGAAGCCTGCTCTATGCTCCCTCGTCACTTGGTGTAATGACTCGCCACCCAGCTTCCTGATTGGTCGGGAAGCTGGCCATCAGGAACCCGGGCGGTGGGTCATTACCTGCCCCCCGGCTCCTTGATAGGCCAGAAAGCCAACTCCATGGTCCCTCATCACCTGGTGACGAGGTAGCATGGAATTGGTTTCCCGGCCCATCAGGAAGCCACGTGCTGTATAATTACCGAAAGGGGAGGGGCTTTTAAGAAATACTATAAACTCTCTAATTGTATAAAAATATGAATTCATTTATTACATAATTGAAAATAGATAAATAGAGTTAAAAACTAATTGAGCACAGTGAGGAACACACTAGAAGCTGGCTACACCAGAGGGAAAACATACCTGAGACACTCGGCCCCCTCCATTTTTCATGTAGTGATGTCGACTGATGGTCCTTCTGGACTCCTCCCATGATATATAATTTCCCCTGAAGAAGCCCAGTCGGGCGAAACATGTCGGGTTTTATCTGAATGAGTCATCTATTATGTCCTATTTTAATTACAATTGCTGACTTGATGTGACATCTACACTGCATGTGAAATAGACCAATTAGTTTTTAACTCTATTTATCTATTTTCAATTATGTAATAAATGAATTCATATTTTTATACAATTAGAGAGTTTATAGTATTTCTTAAAAGCCCCTCCCCTTTCGGTAATTGCATACCTTAAGGTGGAATCTACTCTTTGTATTCTTTTTAGTCAAATCTATTTGGGGTGTGAAATCTTGCTCTCTTTTCTCTTTATTGTTCTAACACACGCAAAATAAAACCTACTTACAACCCACGTGCTGTATAATGACTCACCGTCAAGCTTCTTCATTGGTGGGGAAGCTGGCCAATATGAAAGCCAGGTGGCGAGTCAGTACCTGCTCCCCAACTTCCTGATTGGACAGAAAGCCAGCTCCATGCTTCCTTGTCACCTGGTGAATTTTTAAACCCCCCCCCCCCCCAATGGCTGGTGTCATAGCTGATCACATGCACATCACTTTGGCAACTGCAATCCAAACAGGCTAAACTGGCACCTTCCGTGGCTTTAAAGCAGGGGGCGGGCAAACGTTGGCCCTCCAGCTATGATGAAACAACAAATCCCACGATGCATCTGTCTCTGGGAGCCATGTCTGTGCCTGTGAGAATCTTGCAGTGACTCATGGGACTTGTAGTTCCACAATAGCCGGAGGCCTGGACTTCACCCACCCCTGGGTTATAAAGGATATGAGGATGTACTTCAGCATTACGTAATGCAGTAAATAGTGTGGGAAGTGTTTATTATGTTTTGTTGTCTTGACTTCCTTATCTTATTTATCACAGAAAAAAAAATAGCAACTGTATCATAATAATAATAATAGAGAATTTCAACCCGAGCTTCACCAATTGCAGCTTTTAAATGAGAAGTTCTGTATTTGTAAACCTCAACCCCCCAGGCCGGTGCACCAGAGAGCTATACTATGGAGTGTCCACCAGATGGCAGTATAACTCTACACACCTTGAAAGGTAAGGTTCCATTTCTTTTTATTACTTCCTTGAACTTATTAAAAATAAATGATCCCGAAAGGAAGTGCAGATGATCGCCGAATGATACCGTTCAGTTTTTCCTTCGTTACTCAAAAAAAAAGTACTTGTTACAAGCAATTGAAAGTTCCTTTGGAATAAGTGACATTTGGGGGAGCAGTCATGTGACCCGTTCTATCAGGCAGCCAATAAGTGATTTCTTGACTTCACCTCCTCTGTGGTCTGAGCAAATCTAGATCCTTAAATGACCGCCTATGGTACAGTCTTTATTTACCAACAACAGCAGTAAAGGGACGACCTGATTGGATAGATCAGGGGTCAGCAACCTGCGGCTCCGGAGCCGCATGTGGCTCTTTCATCCCTCTGCTGCGGCTCCCTGTCCAGGGGTGGATCTATCACCAGGGCCTGAGGCTGAGGGGGGGCCCGGTGAGGTCTGGTCTCCCCCACTGGTGGAATATGCGGCAGTGCAGGGTCTATGTTGTGCTCTGCAGGGTCACTCTCAGGTGGGGTCTCGGGTAAGCCCTGAGTCCAGTGCGTTACGAAGCCCTGAGTCCAGTGCGTTACGTAGCCCACATATACCTATATACAGTACATGCTATACATAGCATAAAGCTAAAAAACTAAATATGCCGTGTTATCTTCATTTTAGATGTCAAAAGGGTTTTGTGGCTCCCATTGTTTTTTTTCTGTGGGAAACGGGTCCAAATGGCTCTCTGAGTGTTTAAGGTTGCTGAGCCCTGGGATTTTTTAAAAGGTAGGCACTGGCATAGGTAATGAGCATCTTAAAGTGCAGCTCCGCTATTGAAAGTTGAAGAGGTGAAAGTAAAATAGGAAATTGAAGCTGTCCCCCTGCGGTAATACCTTTCCACCACTAGATGTCACCAGTCTTCTGTGATGACCGGCGTCATTCAACCCTCTTTATCTGAGCCCAGCTCAGAGTGTCGCTTCAATGGAAAGCACTGGGAACGTCATTAATTATTATTTGTTTATTGCAGACGTAAGGACTTTTATCCCCATGAGGAGAAAAAGGAAGAACCTGTCATGTCGTTGAGTCAGGGTGTTCAATAGACTCCTGTTTTTCAATACTGTCCTGTAGTGAAGGTCACCTGAGAAGGGCTCCTAGGTGATAAAAGCTGGCATAGCAAGCTAAAACACTCATCATTGTTCTACTGTAACCCTTGGAAGTGGGTGATTTGGGGCTCAGACTCACACACACACTCCATGCAATATGATTGGTAAGAGCACATGGGATGTGGAAGCAGAGCTCTAACGTTAGAACTAGGAATGAGTTCAGGTTCAGTCTGAACCTGAGTTTCTATGAACCCAGTAGGGGCTCCTTCTGTGCTGCCCAGTCTGCTGCGGGCAGGGAATTCCCCACCCGCAGCTCGATGTAAGCAAATGGCCAGTGACATTATTGACCTTTTATATGGCTACATGCCTATATTTGGTGAATGACACTGACCTAATAAGGCTATGTGGCCATATAAGGTAAATGAGGTCAGCACAGGAATCCCACCCCTTTGTTTACATACAGCTGCGGAGTGTGAAATGCCCTGGCCTGTGGCTGATTGAGTGGAAGTGCCCCCAGCACTTCCTTGTACAGAGGAGCTCAAGTTTAGACCCGGTTTGGTCCAAACCCGAGCTCTTGCATACTCAGAACTAAAGCAGCCATGGCTAATTTAGCTTCCCCAGGCACTGGGACACCATTAAGTAGGAATTAAGATATATACAGTTTTGCAGCTCTTTAGAATGCATCTAAACTCACGTGTAACATATTGCAGTTTATCAGGTGGCTGCATTAGTTTTCTTTTTTATTATTATTCTTATTATTTTATCATTATTATTCTTATTATTATTT